CCCCTCGTAAAAACTGCGCTCTCTGGCTGTTTAACTGCCGATCTCATGTGGTATCCAGAAAGATGGCTTAGGCTGTATTTCAATAAAGAACTATGACAGCCGAAATACCTTGCAGACATTTTAGCTCACAAGAAGAAGCCATCTCAGGAATCGTATGCACGTCGTTATAGAAGTCTCCTACCTGCCAGAGTATGCCATGACCATGCGGTTGATACTACGCAGGGACTGCTTGGTCACTGTTGACAGAAGGACAAGGGGACTGAAACAGCCCTTTCTGACTTATAAGCCGTCATCAGCCAGCCATACATAACGTACACGCTTACTCAACAGCATACTCAAGTGAAGGCTTCGCGGCTTCTACTATTTGACGCTATGTGAACTGCCACGGTCTTGGCAGGTATCACATCTACCGCACCTTGTGGCCATAGTCTACGCAGCCTCTTCACTTTCTCCCTTGTGTCGAAAAGCAACAGACTGTTGACGATCGTGACAAGTTCTCATGCTTTTGCCAACTTGTCTGCGGACTCGGCAGTCTGCATGACGGTCCTATCTCACGCGTATATTTTTCTCTCTGGCGTGACAGATCCCATCCATACTCCTACAGTGTCAGAAAAATGCCCAGGGAGTTTTTTTTCACTGTCTGTTCTTTTTCGTTTTGTTCTGTAAGGGAAGGCTAACAATGCTTTCCCCCCTTCGCTATCCAATGCTCGTCACCCCAGTGTCATGCATCTTCACAGACGACCGTGCCCCCTCGCTGACCTTAAATCGCTTAACTGAAGTCGCTCGCACACACACGAGTGCCCAACTAGTCGCAGTTTCTCAAGCGCCACTTCAACAGACGCAGAATGGGCCTCAATACTCGACACCCTTCTCGGGCAAATGCAACATCAATCACACCCCACTCGAACCCGCTTCACAGTCCTGTAAAAGCAGCTGCAATTATCACAACACAACACAAACACTCGGACACGGTTGGATGCAGTCAACACCAACACAGGCTTCGCCATTGGCCACTGCTGCTCGAGATTGCAACATAGGGCTCTGTGCACAATAAAGCCCTCATTCTGGTGACTTCTGTCTTTTACCTTCAACCTGGGATTCAGTTTGATGATTGTAGTGATCCGAGCACAAACACGACGTAGACCGCTACAGTTCAACATCACTACCTAGTATCATTTGGTATCGCCAGCAACCTGAGGGTCTACTCTTGAATTAAGAACTACACAAATCTGCTCCTTCGCTCTAAGCTTTTCTGGGAATATTTCTGTGTAGATTTGTCACACTCCCTTTTATTTAGCCTTACATTGTCTACTGGCTTCCAACGTCATCAACTGTCATTGGAATCATGTCATTGCTCATGACTAAAGCTGAAACATGCTCTATTAATTTAGCGGGGACAGGGAAAATTGGGTATGCGTTGGCTATTTATTAAAATACCCTTATTTATTGCGCTTAGGATATGGCTGCCCGGAAGGAGTTCCCGCCCCCACAACTCACGGGCGTCAACCATGTTTACGCCCAAGTATTTTTTCTCTGTAGATGGACTCTCTGTAATAGTGCGGAGTCCACTTCGGCTAAGCGTCCAGACTAAAAGCAAATCAACCTACCTCCTGAGCGAATTCAATCTGGAACCCTCTTTCATTACGTGAATTTTGGTGATTAGATACGCCAACTTACTAGGTTTCTTCCAGATGTTCAATTAAACCTGCTATGTGAAGGTTGTACTATCTCAGCGGAAAAGATAATGCTCTTTAAGCGTCTCTTTTAACAAGTGCTTTAGATAATATGAACAATTCGGCTGACCCAATTGTGGGGAACCCGGCGGGGCTCGAGCCTACGAGAGCAGGTCCGACCGCCTGAACTGCAGTGCCTTAGAATCCATCATCTCAAAATCAAAAAACGGATTGCCCAAGCAGGATTTCCTTAGCCATCCATCTACAATTCACCGACCACTACCAGTCGCAATCGGTGTTTTTTGACAAAATTGAGGACAACCAACGCCTTACTTGACTTACGAGAACCCGACCAGTGACTTGGATTTTAATCACTACTGGTTAGGGTGTTGCCCCTATTGTTGTGGGTTCGAATCCCACCAGAACCACTCTTAAGGGGCTGTCGCAGTGGGTTTTTAGCAAACTACCACGAAATGCTTACATTTTCTTCGTATGTAAGGCGGGTCAATCCAAAAGTCCTCTCTGTCCCCTCCTAGAAAATTGCTTGAACTCACAGAAACAAACCGGACTTAAACCAAGGTCAGAAAAGAGCTCCATCAGACGCTGAAAGTCCATGAATAGCCAACTGAGGATTGCGTTAAAACAGCCTTTAGCTGCGATACAAATGCAGGACGTCTGGCAAACGTGCTTTACCCCCTGCTACCACCCTAACCTCGCGGAATACGAATTAAAAGAGAGTTGCGCAGTAAGAGATTGTATTAGAAGATGCAGAGAGCAAACTAACGAGATATTATTCGGGAGGGAGCATTATTGAAGCCGCTATACGGCCAGTGGAAGGCCGTTGTCTTTCCACACGGCAACCAGAGCATCAATCAGCTTGTCGGTCATCTCGTCTGTGTGGAACGGAGACGGCGCGATGCGCAGGCGTTCACTGCCCTTGGGCACGGTGGGATAATTTATCGACTGGATATAGATCCCGTGTTTCCAGAGCAAATCCTCAGATACTCGAGAGCATATAGCGGCATTGCCAACCTGAAAGAGAGCACCGGGAAAAAGGTACGTAAGCATAAAATGCAAGTATGCAGTACGGCGGCATATAATGATAGTTCGACCATCGATTTCGATGATTTCCACCATATGCCTAAGAGCAGGGATGGTGACTGAAGACAGAGAGGAGATTTAAGTAAAATAGACGCGCAACTGTCTACGTCACTCTAAACCCTTGCCTGTTTTAACCGGTGACAAGACAACGTGAAGGTGATCGAACGGGCTCGAGCGTAGGCCACTTTCTCCAATGCAGGCCAGAACACCGTCTAACTTAGTGTTAAGTGACAGTAGACTTTGCGCGGGCACTACCTCACTATTTATTCGCACTCACCTTCAGTAGGTGTGAAGACAAGCTTAGGGAAACCAAGGTTGGT